TCGCTATAGAGGTAAATCGTCATTTCCTCAAAAACGAGTACGGTGACCTATCATTTTTTTTCTGTTGTTTTGAATTGAGTAATCAATTTCTTTATGTAAAATAAATACGGACCAATTCTCAGTGTAGAACAAGAAACGTAAATTTAGCAAGCAATCGTGACTATAATGATTGTGCTATTATAAGGATTTTTTGGGTACAAACAAGGTGCTGTTGCTCCTAAACGAGCATGGGGACCCCTCATTTTTATTTCAAAATAATATAAACAATCAATAGACAAAGTTTGACAAAAATTTCAGTGCAGGTTCTATTTCAGTGGAATGACCTTATTAGTGCCAGTATTTTCAACACCTTTGATGGCAGATAGACTTTTAAATTTCTAAAGCAACTACAAAGCCAAAGCAAAAACGTAAAAGAACCTTTCAGGTGTTATGGACAGTTAAGATAACCTTACAAGTAAATATGTCATCAGTGACATAATGCCCCTTGACGGTTCTTGGGCTGTGGGTTTAATGGCTCCCGGGATCATGGATTGCTTACATTAATTCAATGTTAGTTTTAAAAGGGAGGGAGGAGTTTCTTGTAATCATGCGCAAAGATTTCACCGTGATGATGATGATGATGATGATGGCATCATCAAGAATTTCTAAATTTTACTTTTAACTGTTCTTTTCATATTCAGATCTATTAAGATTGTTCCGCCTCTGTAAGAGAGTCCAAGGAAAAAATAATGATGTTTTAATGGATTGGTTGAAGACGGTGCGCGACTGTATGAGGCGATACTTTCCAGAAGAGGTGACAGAAATGGAAAGTGTTGAAGATCCCACCTTNGTTAGCTTCTTGTTTTGCTCTCCGAACTTTTCAAGTGCATATTAGCGGAGCTCCGGTGGCCCCAAGGGCTGCCAATCGGAGCACCATAACTGTAGGAACAAAACCACATGCAATGCATGCATAGAAAAAAAATTCATGCGACGTTTTTTCGTGGTCAACATTGCTAGCGGCATGGATCGCGGGCGCGTGCGCCTTGCAACGATGACTACGTCGTGCAACATGGCTGCTATACTCTAGCTAATATGCAGCCTTGGTTCACAGCGTACATCTTTGATATTGGACGTCCACCTTATGGTCAGTAGACTAATTTCGATATATTAAAATTCAGCCTAACACAATAAACCTCAGCACGAGGCTCGGGGAAATAGACACCACAAACTCTGTAGTTATTCCCCAAGGCCTCGTACTGAGGTCTATTGTTTTAAGCTGAATGTTAATATATCGAAATTGATATATTGACACTTGTCAAATCAAAGTATCTGCTGACCAGTTTAACGTGACCATATCGCGTGCTCAGACTTAGAGCTCATTGAGGTCACGTGCTTTTTTAAGTTGACCGCTTCCCAGCTTTTCATGCTCGTACCAGGTTAACTTATTGTAAGGAAGAGCTCCGCTTTTATGCTTGGCTAAATCTGTATATTAAACTTGACAATGCCCAGCTAAAATCATCAATCATGCGAACCTAATAAACAGCCCAGCTCATCGAGAGTCTTACTGTAGTTCAGTGGCAAGAGAACCTGACCGGTATCTGGGAGGTCATGGGTTCGAATCCCCATCAAAAACCCAGGTTTTTTTGCTCTGCGCCACACTTATGACATGCTGAACGTTTCATCTTTCACGTGATACACTTGATTTATGATGTTGCCGACTGAAATGTGCCATCAAACCCAGGCGTCAGGCGTCAGGCGTCGTTGTACCTGTTCTACTTAAATCACGTTGCTTTTCGCGTTTACTTCCTCCCTAAAAATTCTAACCGGACAATTAGGCTTTTTGTGGCGCAACTTGCACAGGTTCAACTAACTAGAAAGTTAAATTCCTGGCGAATTTGCTCACATCTACTGAATTTGATAGCGGGGCTAATAGCTAGCTATACTTTAATTTTTTTCGTGTTGGTAGGTTTGTTTACTTAGTGTCTTTTGTTTTTTCATCTTAATACCTCCAGAGATTCTTGCACGTGGGCCTTTGGCTTTGGAAGCTTACAAAAATGCCCTCACGGAAGGAAAAACTCATGTCAAGAGGGTGCCAGTCATGTTGATCGGTCAAGAGCGCTCTGGAAAGACCAGCTTACAGAAGTCACTCAAGGGAAAACCTTTCAACCCAGATGAAGGCAGCACTGTAGGGATAAACGTTGACCCTTCTCATTTTAAATTATCAACCGAGATTTGGAAGCTAGGGGAGAAAGACCAAATAACAAATTCTGGGTCGACTATATCTTATGAGCACCATGCAGCCCGATTAACTGTTGAAAATTTGAGGCAGAATAAAGGTACTCCTGAGAAAAAACTTGCAGAGTCTCTGAAGTCTGGAAGCACACCCCTCGTCGACCCAGTCTCTGCCACTGTAAGCAGTGATCTCCAGTCAGCATCTTCAGCTTCCAATGTGCCAAGTGGCCATGACTCTGTGGTGGAAGCAGATATTAGCAATTTCACTTTAGGAGCTTCAGCTGCAGCTGTAGCTGTTCCTGGCACCGGCAGCCACGAGTCAGCAACCTATCACGATATCCCTGAAGATACTCGATCTGGTGAGATGCCAAGAGATTCAGAAGCTATTCAAACATCCAGAGGCCCACAGGACGCTGATTTCACACCTGACATGTCAGAAGATATGGCAACTTTGGTTGAAATGTTTCTTAAGGAAGATAACAAAGTGGAAGAAGAAGAAGAAGAAGAAGACGACGACATATATTCAGTATTGTGGGATTTTGCCGGGCAGTCGGTTTACTATACAACTCACCCAGTTTTTCTTACTCCAA